GCACGTTGGATGTCTTCAACTTCACTCGTCGATATTTTTTATGTGCGTGTGCTAAAAATGTTCTCAAATCTAAAAAAGTCTGAATTTAGTGTGTGGTTTAAATGTGGTGAAACAAAATTGTTGGTCCCACAATGTACCAGGATAGTTTGACATCTCAAAGATACATACAGGGTGGGGACTTTAACTGGAACTAATTCGCTAGAGCCTTCGGATAAAATATGTGGACAAAACGCAAAAACACGTCGATCAAGATTTTTTTTTTGAAATTTTTCCATATTAATTTTTTTATACAGGGTGTTCCAAGAACAGCTGTACGGTTATCAACTTTATTTTTCCAAATGGTAGCCCCTGTATATTATGACATTTCTGGATTCTGCTGAAAATTCTAGACATATTTCATGTACAATGTTATATACCTATCTTCAACTGTTTCGGAAATATTGACAGTTGAAAATTGACTTTTTTGCAACTTTGACAGGCTGTAAAACCTAAACGGTTAATTTTAGAGGAAAACCAGTTTTACATTCCTATCTCAGATTTTCATAAACTATCATTTGACACTAACTTTGAATTTAACTGGAGATTGAATTTAACTGGAATTTTTAATCATGGATTAAATTCAAAGTTGGTGTCAAATGATAGCTTATGAAAATCTAAGACAGGAATGTGAAATCGGTTTTCCTCTAAAATTAACCGTTAAGGTTTTACAGCCTGTCAAAGTTGCAAAAAAGTCCATTTTCAACTGTCAATATTTCCGAAACAGTTGAAGATAGGTATATGACATTGTGAATGAAATATGTCTAGAATTTTCTGCAGAATCCAGAAATGTCATAATATACAGGGGCTACCATTTGGAAAAATAAAGTTGACAACCGTACAGCTGTTCTTGGAACACCCTGTATAAAAAAATTAATGTGAAAAAAAGTCAAGCAAAAAATCTTGATCGACGTGTTTTTGCGTTTTGTTCACATATTTTATTCGAAGGCTCTAGCGAATTAGTTCCAGTTAAAGTCCCCACCCTGTATAATTAGTTTTAAACCGCATTCTAGAGCAATTAGACGATGAGCCACTGAACATTCATCTGTGGCAGTTATGGTGGACACTGTGGATAGGGTGGCGTCCCACCGCATAATGCAAGAATGGTCAGTCATTTATTAAATAGGGTTTCTAAATCAATGATTATGAAGCAAAGTACCTGTTCGGTACCCTGCAAGAAGTCCGTACCTGAATCCTCTGGATTATTTTCTTTGGGGATACCTGCAAAATCGTTTGTATCTTGAAATGCCAGAGGACATTAATGAACTGAGCGGAAATTTGATAAGGGAAATACGATCTATCCCTGCCAGATTCATACAGCGGTCTATATCCAAACTAAGAAGGCTGAGTGCGTGATGCATTGAAGATTGAAGCGAACGGCTTTCAGATTGAATATCTTTTGTTACTATAAAATATGCTTTTACCTGGTTAATATTATCTATTCTCAAAGTTTGAAGATTGATTTCTAGCCCGATAATTCTGTTAGACGGGATGGGTGTAGATAGATTTATTTTAAGCGTTTAGATAGCTAGTTATGGGCAAAACAGAGGCTATGCATACTTTTAACTTAGCCGAATTTCGCTTACTAATTGCCCCGAATTTAGGACACGAGCGACCAATAAAATTATAGATTGGTGCGACAGTTCAGTAAGTTTATATTCGAGTGCCAAGATGGTCTACTCGGATCAGTGGCAATCAAGAATCAGCCAGCAAATACGAGGGCTGCATAAGAAAACGAAGTGCAGAAACAAGAGCTACAGTCACTTCAGAAAGACAATTTTAACCTTCGACAGGAACTCGAACAAGTCAAAGCAGAAAATCATAAGCTAAAGCTAAACGCCAGTGCCTTCAAGACGATAGAAATTCACAGTCTTTCCGAGCTGGTCACGCAGCTCAACATGGAAATCGATAACTCCGACAAAGACAAGACTGACTCAAGCGACGAGTCCCTGGCCTCTGCGAAGTCTCGCCTTTGCAGAAAATCGACCAGCAGCGAGGACAGTCATCTGTCTCATAAAAAAGTGCCAAAAAAGCCAGAACCCCTGACGCCCACGGTTATTGTAGAAAACGGACAGCTAGCAAGTGACAAAACAACCGTAAGTACTAACACTAATCTTACCTCCCAAGCCACCGTCCCCGCCAGGAAAGTCTTTTAGCTGAAGCCACCAATAATCGCCCAAACGCCGGTGAAGGACCAGCCGCCAAAAAAACAGGAACGAATCCCGCCAATAATTATAAGAAACAAAGGCGAAATACAACGAAATCACGGCGCAATTCGAGCAGTCAATTTAATTTAATTCAATTTCATTGTTTTCGGGAAATATTTTCCATAACAATGGGTACGCTATTGATAATAGTTAATAGTTGATAGTTAAACAAAAGTAAAGATAAACTCCTTAACTAAAATAACAAAATATCTTGAAATAATACTAATTAAGAAGCAGGGAATATAATTGGCTATTAAAAAAAAAATTATAATTTGTTACTATGATGACTTACTTTATGAGAGCAGGTAATATTTGGCTATTTTCCCTCTTAACTAAACGAGATACATTCAACTTTTTGGCGCAAGAAACAAAAATGTCTACTACTTCTAAAGCAGTCAAATGTGCATCAAAATGCACCCTCCGACAGTGGATGACTACAGGAAAATCCAGGCCTTCTTAGAGAGAAGAAAAAAGAGCCATTCCACACGTTTAGTTTTCCCGAAGAAAAAGAAGCTCAGGGTGGTAATCAGGGGCCCCAACGAGGAATGGCCCACGGATTTCATCAAAAATGAACTGGAAAGTCTGAGCTTTCACCTGTCGACCGTCATCAGATTGTACAATGCCAGCGGCAAACCAGTCCCTCTGATACTTGTAGTCCTATCAGCCACGGAAACTGCCATCTACCAGATCGAACAAAGCAATAACATTAAGGTCAGGGTAGAAACCTAGAAATTCCGGGCAAGGACCACTCAGTGTCACAGATGCCAGCTCTATGGTCATAACAGTCAAGATGTAGAGCACTCCCAAATTGCGTGAAGTCTGCAGGGGAACACCACTCGTCCTCCTGCACCAAGCCTAGGGAGACAGACGCTACTTGCGCAAACTGTGGAAGCGGCCACCTCGCCGCATACCAAGGGTGCCCAAAACACCCAAAACACCCCAAACACCCCAAACACCCAAAGAAGCTCCGAAGACGACCCATCTTCAAACTTTGTTTAGGGTCAACGACCAAAAATTACCCCCTCCTATGTGCTGCAACAGAGACAGCAATACAGGACGCAACCAACATAAGAAATCATAATGAACCAAATGAACCAACTCCAGCAACCAGCTGAATGCCATACTAAGGCAAAATAAGAAACGGCCACTGAATGGATGAACGACCAGCAACTAACTACCTGAAAATTGCCACATGCAACGTAGATTCTGTCAAAAACAGAAATCCAGAGCTCCAGGCTTTCCTGGAGGAACGGCAAATAGAAGTCCTGCTCATCCAGGAGACTCTCCTCAAAGCCTACCAGCGCTTCTCGTTGGCAAACTACACCATCGCCCGTAAAGACAGCGTAGCCAGAGGAGGCAGGACCCTCATCACCATCAAAAACATCATCACAAACTACGCTTTTCCCAATCCGAACCCAGAAGAAGAACTCGAAGACATCTTTGTGGCCGTCCCATCTAGTGGCCGCACCATTATCATCAGCTCAACAAAGAACAAACCAAGCCAAACCAGGCTCCTTCACACTAGCCCACTTTCCATCGAAGTGGAAGGAAATGCACACCATACTCATCCGACAGACTGGCGAATCCATCACCGACCCCAAGAGCTAATCAGCCTTCTCCGGCACTGGAAAAAGTAGCGGAAAGTCTTCTCAGACATTTTCAAAGCCTTCGACAAGATGTGGCACCAAGGACTTATCCTAAAAATGGTACGGGCCACCATCTCACACTACTTAGTGAGACCGGTTGCCTCATTTCTCGCCGACAGAAACTTCTGTGTTACGATTGATGGTACCTCTGCAAACAAAACCACCTCAAACCAGTACGTGCAGGAGTCCCCCAAGGCTCCCCTCGTAGCCAAGTACTATTCAACATTCACAGATGCTCCAAACTAAATACCACAGTCAAGTTGAACACGTACAAGCTGTACATAAGCCGAGCTGGAACCATAAGCGCCCGTCACCCAATTACAACCATGGAGAACCGTATCCTGCGAAGCCTGCTCGATGCTCCTTGGTTCGCCAGGAACATCACAATCTACAACATCCGAGCCCTATGCGACCGGCACTTCACGGGTGCAGAAACAGCAACGAATCCCTTAATCAGGCACAGCCGCACGCCAGCCCCACCGGGCTCATCTCACACCCTACCGGGGAAGGAAACCGTATGAGGCAGCCAATAAAGAAGCCTCAACATTACTGATCCACCAGGCCACTAAACTAATCTAACAGAATCTAAGAATCCAAAACATATACGAACACACAATAATGGGTACCTACTGCGCAGGTACTTTCCCAAACCTAAAAATGTTTTCGCCATTTGGACATGTTGAAAAAAAAAACTCATCACTTCCAACTCTCCTGAGGCACCCTGTTGAAAATGTCAAGTTAGAAATAGTAAGTACAATATCCTAAAGAGTACCCTACCTATTCCATTTTCAACATTTGGCTTTGACAGATGGGTAACGAAAAGAGAAAACGTTGAAAATGTCCTTCCTCTAATTTAATACTTGGTGTGTTATTGTGGCGCTACGATAGCTCAGATAGAGTTGAATGAGTTTAGTACTGGAAAAAAAGGACTGTAAATAAATTCCTTCTCTTTATTTGAAGGTGAAAGATCGCGGAATCATTCTTTCTAGCGCGAAATAGTAGATTGTGAACTTATTCCAGTGAAAAATCAGTTCTATCGTAGATATTTAAGATGAATAAATAAAAATAAGAGAAGTGGTTAGCCTAATAAAGTCAATAAAGAAAGACTTACCGGAGTGTCGTATAGTATCCTCTTCTAGGAGCACGTAGATTGTTGCGGCTGAGTGACGCAGAGACGTAACTTCCAGCACTCTGCAAATTATAGACCCAAAAGTGCAAAATCAGTTTGAATAAAAAATTAATTAACTTCCACATTAGCGGCTGTCGTATGAATGGTCGATACGAGAGAAATGAGTAATAATTTAACTCGTCCAGCTCCTACGCAATTGATAAGCACAGGCGCACGGAGAATAGCGACTTCGATTGGTGCAGAAAAAATGTATTTTTATCGCTTTCGTATACAAGCTGGTAGAAAAAGACACGGATACACTCAGTATGCTCTAACCCTTCCAAAAGAATTCGCTATAAGTAAATTTTCTATATTTTAGCAAATAGCAAATAGTAATGCAATATAAAATCCATAGAGAGCGCCATGGCGTCAAAAAATAAAATTACACGAACACGACAAAATAAAATATATTTCACTTTTCACCAATGATGTAGTAGGATCTAATAGAACTCAAGAACTGAAAATTAAAAAAAAACAAACTAAATTGCAAATGATTATAACAGGCAAAAATAAATACCATGCATCCAATGGTACTATTTTAGTATGTAGATAAGAATTATTAATTTTTTTTCTGCTTAGATATGTTTGCGATAATTCTTTTGTTGGTTGTCACGAGAATTCGTCACCTGGAAATACCTATCGTATCAATGCAATTCAGTTTTTGTTAGTCATCTTTTATTTATTACAGCAGACGTCAAAAGTTTTCATTTTTTAATCTTGTTTTATACAACTTTAGAGTAAATTGAAAAGCGAAGGGGAATTTGGAGAAAATATGGTGCATGGATGCATTGAAATGTTACAGGAAAAGTCAACATACTAGTTACGCAAAAGAGTTGATTTCACTATAATTTTGTTGAATAAGCTTTCTCACACTCGTCTTGCGATGATTTTAAGCGCCAACAGTTTTCTAGGCTTAACTGGAAATCATAGACATTCATTCGCTAACGAAAACTTACTATTGTTAAATTCCGAATGTCACAGGCCTATATTATTTAATCCCTTTCATCTGTCTCATCACAAATCCAGTGTCGAATATAAATGTATTTGGTTTGAGGAAAAAAAATGTTTTAGACTGTATTGAAAGTGAGAGTGATAGAAAGCTAATCAATGCAAGTGTATTATAAAGATTATCAATGCAAGTGTATTATAGTACAATGCTTGGATGATTTTATGATTAGAGAAAAAGAGACAGATTTTAGTATGTGGAATAGTTTAAAAGAGAGGTATGAAAAAAAAGACATTCCAGGCCACACTTTGTTTTGGCTAGGGTAGCTTCGGTTGAAAGAAGAAGTCGGTTTGAGAGTATCCATGTGAAATTTTTTCCGGCACTAGAGCAGGTATATTTCTCGGTAGTTTCCACACTGTCCCGTATCGCCTTTCTTGAATATAGTGACAATAGAGGTGTCTCTGAAATCAGTGAGAATCGTCTCTCCATATTTTGGCCATAATCCTATGTGCTGCTGGAAGATTGGGGGGCCATCTTAAGAAGATCAGCAGGGACTCCGTCTAACCGAGCAGCTTTATAATTCTTTATTTGGTGGATAGCTTTTCTAACCAACTGATGCGAAGGAATATCACTCAGATGGTTTCAAGTGGGTTTTTGAGGTACCTTGAAAAAGCTCCGACATCTACATAAGAATCTCTGTTCAAGAGTTCCTGGAAATGCTCCTTTCACTCAATTAATGGATCTTTGAGTGGGTGAGTCCATTTAATAATCCTATGTGCTGCTAGAACATGGGGGGCCATCTTAAGAAGCTCAGCGCTCAGCAGGGACTCCGTCTAACCGAGCAGCTTTATTATTCTTTATTTGGTGGATAGCTTTTCAAACCAACTGATGGGAAGGAATATCACTCAGACGGTTTAAAGTGGGTTTTTGAGGGACCTTGTGGAAGGTCCGACATCTACGTAAGAATCTCTGCTCAAGAGTTCCTGGAAATGCTCCTTACACTCAATTAATGGAAGCTAAATCTTTGAATGGGTGAGTCCATTTCTAGATCTTAGGAGATTTGAACCGTTTGTAGAGGGACCATTAGTTGCTTTCATGGCCTTGAAGAATGTTTTGGTGTTGTTGGAGGCTGCTAAATGTTTCGGTTAGTGGATTAGTTTCCATTAGGGGGATAATTAGCAGATAATTATTAGATTGATTTAAGCTAATTAGTTGAACAATTGGTGAAATCCTGTTGAACTGAAGTGACTTTATGGTTTTGACATCCACAAAAAGTCGACAGAGTACGAGGTAAAGGTACGAGCATTATAACTTCGCCACCGGACTTTATATTTAAAATACAGTTTCAAGGAAGGTACAGGCCAGGAGACAGAAAAAAAGGCAAGAAAGAGATAGACCCGCAGACGAGAAGAGCGGGACCGACTTCAGGAAAATCTTGAGCTTCAGCAAAAATGGATTCGAACCGTAGTCTCCAAGGAACAAACCGGATCGTACAAGGGCAAGATAATACAGAGTGAGTTTTAGGTATGGACCGTCTCGATTATCTCAAAAACGGCTTGCACGATTACTATGAATTTTGGTTTGAAGGAATATTGTTTTAGGGCCGATAATATGGTGGTATTTACATGGTTGTCAGATCTTTCGTTTCTCGGGAAACATCAGAAACTTTGTTTTCTCAAATGGATCACCCTGTGACATTTAAGAAAATTGACTTTTTTGCAGATTTGACAGGCTGTGAAACTTAAACGGCTTTTTCCAGCGAAACCTTTTCTACATTCTCATTTGTAGCTTTTCATAAGCTATCATTCGACACCAACTATGAATTAAACCGGAGATTAAATTTAACCGGACTTCTTAATCATGGATTCAAAGTTGGTGTCAAATGATAGTTTATGAAAAACTAAGACGAGAATGTATGATCGATTTTGCTGTAAAATCGACTATTTAGATGTTTCAGTCCGTCAAAATTGCAAAAAAGTCTATTTTCAACGGTCAATAATTCCGAAATAGTTGAAGATACGTATATAACATTGCACATGAAATATGTCTAGAATTTTCCGCAAAACCTAGAAATGTCATAATATACATGGTGATCTATTTGAGAAAACAAAGTTTCTGATATTTCCTGAAAAACGAAAAATCTGACAACCATGTAAATACCACCATATTATCGGCCATATTGCAATACTTGTTCAAACCAAAATTTATAAAAATCGTGCAAGCCGTTTCCGAGATAATTGAGACGTTCCATACTTAAAACTCACTCTGTATATTCAAAAATGCAATGCATGCTTACCAAATAACACCGAAATCGACCCCAATGATCAAATTGATTATTCCCAATTTCAGAATCAATATGCCGAACAGCAATATTAGTAAAAAAGAAAATGTTAGTAACTATGGATACCCAGGTTATGATGAAAATTTTCAAAAAGTGACCCCGACCAACAATGTGACGTAATGAATCTAAATAATTATTCTAATTCCGATTTACCCGTTCTTATATTACCCGAATGGAATGCCAAATTCCTCATCGACACTTATATTTTGGTCTTTTAATTGTCAAGGAAATCACAAATTTTATTTATTTGATTTTTCCCCAAAATTTGATGGATTATTAGGAACAAATTTCCTTATACAAATTGGTGCGAAAATTAATCTAAAAAATAAATACTTAAAAATGCCAAACGCAATGTTTCGTTTGTATTTTCAAAGCGAATTGAAACCCCAGAAATCATTACATCATTTTGAAACATTTGACTCTATTATTCCGCCTCGAACTTGTCAAAAAATAAAAGTACCAGTTAATGAACAAAATGGTATAGGTATTTTAAGTTATACAGACTTTGGTGCCGCTGAAATACCAGAATCTTTAGTAAATATAGTCGACTCATTTGTATTAACGACCATATTAAACCCACGCGAAAACCCTGTGAAGATAAGCATATATAATCCACTAGGTATTGAATTACCTGACGACGCAGAGATAAGTTTCTATGAAAATATTGAGGTCAACAATTATAACGTTAATAATAATGACCATTTCGATAATTTGCAAAAACAAAATCTTAAAAATTTAAGATTATCTTATTGCAATACTGAAGAATACAAAGCCATTCGAGACCTTTGTTATCAGTATCGTGATATATTTTTCTGTGAAGGTTCGCCCTTAACTTTTACCAACCAAATTAAACATAAAATAAATCTCACTGATGAAACGCCTATATTCACTAAAACCTGTCGATACCCTGCAGTCCACAAACAAGAAGTAACGACCCAAATAAACCAAATGTTACAAAACGGCATTATTCAGCATTCTACGTCACCTTGGAGTAGTCCTATATGGATTGTCCCGAAAAAAATGGACGCCACTTGAAAAATAAAATGGAGAATCGTAATCGATTATCGGAAACCGATAATGATAAAACGACTCGATTTGGCCAATGGATTTCATCAAATCGAACTTGATCCCCGTGATATTTCCAAAACAGCTTTTTCCACTGACACCGGACATTTTGAATTCAAACGAATGCGCTTCGGTCTTAAAAATGCTCCGTCCGCCTTCCAGCGAGTCATGAATAACATTCTCCGAGGCTTACAAAACGAAACTTGTTTTGTTTACCTCGATGACATAATCATTTTCAGCACTCTCAGAACACATACAACGACTTTGTAACGTCTTTGAGCGCCTCAGACAGTCAAACTTTAAAATCCAGCTAGATAAGTCTGAATGGTAGGTGGTAGACGCTTTTTACTCATTGGGCGTCGACCGGTGAGATACCACCATGCCAGAATTGAGTAGCGCTAAGTGGTATCACCACGTTCCGCTACTGCGCTGGCAGTCCGGTTCCAACAATGAGTAACAGATAGCATGATGGCGCCTCCAGGATCAAAATATTCCGGAGGTAAAATACCCGACCACTCGGATCTCCGGGCGTCGGGTGATCCTGGGGGTCCTTCATGCAAAGATATAAAGAGAAGATCAAAAACTCAACTCAGAATTGATTTTAGCAATATAAGAGGAATAAGTACAAATATGAATTCAGTTCACCAACATCTTGAAGAACAAAGACCTGACATCCTTGTTCTCACTGAAACTAAAATCAGTTCTGCAACACCTATTGTGAACTATCTTTATCCCGGCTATGACCTTCATCACCGATT